AGAGCAGACAGACAATCAAATGTGATGACGTGATACTGTGAGAGCCACCTGATGATACTGCTTCCAGAGGCTAGACTGTAAACCTCGTGGGGACAAGGACTATCGTGTTGGGCCACCCAATAGTGCCCAATAGTGCCACCTTTCTGAGCCTGGTTTCCACATGGAGAAATGAGAACAGCTCTCTCGTGTCCAAGGAATCAGTGAAATTGTGTCCATAAGGACATACTTTGAGAAGTAAAGACAAATAGACAAATGTAATAATCATCATCATAATAATAGCAATACACATACTATCAAAATTATCCAGAACAAGGAACAAATGAGATTATCAGAAGACGGAGTTAAAACAGGAGGTGTTCTTCAGTTTGGGGAATAGGAGATACGATATAAAAGGTAAAGGAAACAGATAAATTCCTGAATTTCACCCATTTAAAAAAAGAGAGAATGAGGGAGTAAAAACACCAGCAAAAGTCTGGCTAGGGAGACCCATTAAAAATATCTGTGTTGGAAGAAAGGGGGAGAGGTGGGTCTCTAGGCAAGATGGTTGGGGATGGAATGAACACCTTGCATTAGCCTCATACCAACAATGGCTTGACTCATGAAAGTGAGAACCAATATATTATCAAGAACAATATTTCCCAAAGTGTGTTCTATGGCATATAAGCCGTAAGGTCAAAGAGTCCCAGGCAACATGCTTAGTAAATGCCCCGTGTACACTGTTCTGTCAAAGAGCCACAAGGAACAGTGGTTGGCCAAAGCCTTCAAAAAGCCCCCGAAGAAAGGAAACAGTTCACTTCTGCTTAATTTAGCATTTAACTTCTCAGTTTCTCCCCTCTATTCCCTGCCGCTTTTTGGTAAAACAACGTTGGGCAGAACCAGTTGTCTGAGAAGCATGGTTTTAGAAAATTTGGCTTAATTCTTGAACTTGCAAAACTGGAGATTTTCAGATATATTCCTGTTCATCCTCTGAAGGCATCATACTTCTGGGTGAGCAGCTTTGAACGGAAGAGTGTTAATTGAGAACAGAGACCAATTCCCAAACATAGATTCACTGGTCTGCAGTGTGTGGATGACAGCGAGCTGCAGACAAGCCAGGGAAGTTATCCCTGGGCTCCAAGCCTTGGCCAACCTCTCAGTGACCTTTAGCATTAGCCTGAGTCTCCTGGATTTCTTCCCAAAATGCTCTAGCAGAAATGCACCACACAGGTGGGAAGGGAGGACATCCTCAGAGATAAATTTAGGAACGGATTCAGGCCTCTGGAGCCATTCATTCTTCACTCATTTCATTCATTCATTCTTCATTCATTCATTCATCAAGCACATGTTACTTACTGACCACGTGCTCAACACTGCGCTAAGGGTTGGGGTGACAATGGGACCTCAAGGGGCTCACACACACAAACTGGTGCAAAGAGGTAAAGGTGCTCTGAGAGAAATCTGTTCCGAGTATAGTGGGCACAACCTAGAGTGAGGGGAAGAGGGCAATCAAGTAGGGCTTCACGCAGGAGGCGATTTTCCAGCTGAGCTTTGAAAGAGGAGTGACTGTGCGTCTGAACAAGAGCTTCAAGTGGTTAAATTCTGAGAAGCACTGTTCTAGGATGTGAGTCCTCCTGCCTGGTCTCCTCTTGATGATTATTTGAAGGTTTCCTCCAAAGCCATCATTACAATTCACACCTTATAAGTCAGACATAGTATGCTCATTAATGAAGGCTAACCTGCACCTCAGCCATGGCCTGTTTGGCCAGTTTATTTAATAGCTACTGTTCTGTGATCTGGGTGATGCTGAACAACTTTACGAGGGACTTCTTTTTTCCTTTTCACCTGTTGACAAGCCCCACCCTCATACACAGCATGGACTCCTTTCGAGTCTCTTGAGTGAGGGAGCAAATTCCACCTACAAAACTGATAGATGCTGACCTCACCCTACATTTGCCAACCCTCCTGCAAATTGCCTGGAACATTTTCCCTTCGAGATCCAGGAAAGCAGAGGCCTTGCTGATCTTATTTACCCCTGGATAGAGGTGGAGGAGTACACCAATGCCTGGAAGAGAGCCTGGCATTTAACAGGTGCTCAATGAACATTTGTCAAATGAATAAACATTCTTTCTCCAAGGTAAAAGCCATGTGGACAGTCTCCAGCATTCTATCTTTCAGATAGAATAAACAGGGATAACCAGGGATGGGCGGGAGCACAATGAGGGAGGCCTGAACACCAGCCTTGGATTGACTTTCCAGGCCATGTGCTCCGATGCAGGGCTGCATTTGCATGGGGGAGAGGGGCCATTTTCAAATTCACACAAATGTGCAATATGGGATAGCAGGGGCCTAGTCCTGAGATGTGTCCCAGAAACTGAGTACGGGTTTTGTGCATTTTCAAACAAATAGACTTTGAGTATTTGGGAAGCAAAGTCTTTCACGTCCCAGTCTCTGACAATGCTTGGCCCACTGATGTTCCGATATAATTCTCACCTGTGCTGCACTGTCTCACAACCCCCAGGGACTCCCCTAGCGCTGCACAGGGTGGTGGGGAAATTACAGACGCCTATAGCTTGAAGAATATTCCTCTCAAATGTATCCTTCCAAAGTAGTTTTATTATTCCCTAGCATTTACTTCAACTTTGTAATTTTATAGACAGCTTCGCAGGCTTGGTTTCATAAATAAAGGCACTGTTTTGAGATTGCTGGCTCTTTTTTACAGTTCTGGGAATCCGTTATTTTGAGACTCGTCAATATCTATGTCAATTTGCATTATCTTCTAGTGTTTCCTCATTGGGGTGCTATTGATGTTTGGGGTAGGTGAATTTTTCATTGGGGGGACAGTCAGTCCCGAGCATTGCAGGGTATTAATACTCTTAGCCCTTCCTTCCCCATAAATGCCAGCTGTGCTCCAAATCACTGAGGTACCACATATGCTCCCCAATATTTCCAAATGCCTCCATGGGGAGTAGCACCACTGCCAGCAACAGTGTACCTCAATTTATCACAAATTACCAATGCGTGAGATGTGAAAATAGCCAGGACTGATCATTACAAGCCACTCTAGGGAAAGCACACACCTAGCAGAGTTGGTCAGCCACCTTCCTCTCCTTTTTTTTTTTTGTTAATTTTTTGGTGTAATTTGGCTTATTTATTTATTCTTAATGGAGGAACTGAAGCTTGAAGCCAGGACCTCCTGCATGCTAGGCATGCGCTCTACCACTGAGCTATACCCTCCCCGACCCCTTTCTCTCTTCCTTATCCTTTAGACTTTAGAGTCTTCATTATGAATCTTGTCAAGTCGAGATCTGCACTGTTCAAAAGGAAAAATGCTTCTAGTACCTTAGAGGGAGTGCAACAGGGAGGGTGTATGTAGAAAGGGCCTTTTAGAAATTAGATTTCACTGATTTGATGCTCTGTTTGTTTCCACACGATGTTTCCAGGCTCTAAATCTACCCATCTGTCTGACGACTATTGCCCAGAGTACAAAGCTGGTGACTTGACGTGATTTTATTCTGTTTTACCCTTACAACAGTTTTGCTCCACTTAAAACACTTCCACATCCCCATTTTTTAGACAAAGAAACCAAGGCTTTAAAAGGGTATGAAACTTGACCACAGCCAACTTTCTGACTCCAGTGTCTATGTTCTGGCAATAGAATGGTCTCTTGCTGTAAACCTAGTGAAAAAGTCTTGGGGGAGGGAATGGGGATGAGGGGGCCAGAAAAAAGTTTCTATTCAAAGCACATACAAATCTTATTCCCCAGGACACACCAAGTGGTATCATTAGTGTCCAACCTGTCACCACCAGCTGGAGTTTTAGCTTGTCTCAGATCAAAGGCGGGCAGGCAGTTTTCTGGTTGGCACTGGGGTAAATTGGCTGCTGATTCATTAATAAACCAGGATAGATTGTGGGCACCAATACCAGCCAGAGAGGCTGCTGCCGCCTGGAGAATCTGGCTGCTGTATCCTCCCCTGCTTTGCCGCAAAAAATCCAAGACAGGATATCTTGGGGGAGGAAGGAAGGGAGGAAACGGGCTGTTTGGTCCTAAGAAACCTGATATGGTAGCTTCTGGGGCTCCCATGTGGGAAAAAGCCTCAGGAGTGAAACAGACATCGTGACCCATTAACACCGTTCATTCATACATGCATTCATTGCATAATATTTACTGGGCATCTAACACCTGCCAGATTCTCTTCCAGGTGAAGAAGATACAGCAACAAATAACAAGCAACAAATACAAATCTCTGCCATCAGAGAGCTTATATTTTTCTAATGAGGAGACACAGACAATAAGCATGTTAATAAATTAAATAATGTATCAGATGGAGACAAGAGCTTTGGGCAAAAAGCAGTAGGGAAGGGAGAACAGACCTGGGCGGGAGGATGATTTTAAGCACTGACCAGAGAAGCCCTCCTAAAGTGACGTTTGAGTAAAGGTCTAATAACACCAGCATGCCGGGCACTGTTCAAAGCAGTTTATAATTTATCTCATCAGTATGCACAACTCCAAGAAATATGGCTCTGATTACTTCCATTTTACAAAGAGACTGAGGTCAGGAGAAATGCAGTGATTTCCGGACACCACAGCTAGTACCTGGTGGAATTAGGATTTGAATCCAGGCAGTCAGAACTTCAGCGGCTGAACGCTTGAACGATGGTGCGAGTGTCCTAAAAACGGGGTGTGGGAGAAGGCAAGTTGCGCGTGCAAATGAGGTCTCCGTGTGTACCCACGGAGGGAAGACGGTGCCACGCGCGGGCAAGTGTGGGCGGACCCGGATCGCGGGAGGGGCAGTGGCTCTCGATCTTTACTGAACTGAACCCGGACTCTCCCTGTCTGCGGCTGGGGAGCTCGGTCAGGCAAGATGGGTGGGTGGGGGAGGGGGCTCACTGCAAGGGTTGTCCCGGGACAGTGCCGGGCCAGCTGCTCCAGTCAATAAGGCTAGGACCTCGCTGACGCTCCTGGCCCTCCTGGTGGGAGGGGTTCGCACCGAGTTCCTACCGGGGCTGAAGAGGGTCGCAGAGGCGAGCTCCGAGGGGCGGGTGGAAGCACCGGCTGCCTCTACTCGAGGAGAGGTGCATATTTCGGGAGGCGAGCGTGCTAAGGGGCGCGGAGCCACAATGGACCTGGGAGTCCCCACTGCATTCCCGGGAGCTCCCAAGGACCCACCGGTGGAGGGGCGCCTGGGAGCCCTTGGGAGACGCCGAGAGGCGGGATAGGGTCCCTGCGCAGCAAATGAGAGAGGAACCACAACGTCCTGGAGTAGAGGAGGTGGAGGCGAGCACGCACATTGCTGGTGAGAGGGGCGCAGGGGGGCCAAACGGGCCTGCAGAGAGAGAAGGCTCAATGGAGAGAGGGGCCAAGGGGTTCTGAAGAGAGCCAAGGAGAGGGAGCTGCCGTAGAAGGGAGCGAGAAGGAACTGACGACCCAGAGAGGGCGTGCTAAAGTGTGGGACTACGGGTCTAGAGGACATCGGGAATCGCCCGGGGACCCTCAGAGAGTGGCTGAGAAGGCGCCCTGAGCGCAGCAAGGGAAGAGGGGGCTTGCGCTAAAAGCGGCGGCGCTGCGCGCTGGAGAGCGGGAGCGCCGGGCGAGGCAGAGCGGGGCGCAGAGCCCGCGCGCTCCGAGAACGGGGCATGCTGCTGCCTGCAAGGGTGGCGCGCGGTGAGCCTCTAGTAAAGCGGGCTGAGAAGAACCGGATGTGCTCGGGGATGTCAGAGGAGGCAGGGAGAGAAGCCGTTAAAAGTCCAAGGAAGAACTTCCCTGGGGTTGGAGAGAATGGACCAATGGCTCTGGAAGGACGTGGAGACGGCCTGGGGGAGGCTTGGTCTGGGTCTGAGCGCCACAGGAGGCGCTGATGGTTGTCGGGGGAGAGTTTGGCCCCAGTAAAGTGAACGGGTGGCTCAGAGGACAAAAGAAATGCAGGGCAGCGAGGAAGGGAGGGATGGAGGGTGGACAGTGCGTGGAGTCCTCCGGAGGCGCTCAGTGCCGCCCAGATCTCCCTTCCCTGGCTGCTCCGGGTCCTAGTTTACTCACCATGATGGAGAAGACTAAAGCCACGATGTTGATGGGGTAAGCGGGGCAAAAACACGAGACGATGGAGAGCCACAGGTAGTTCCTGGGCATGGGCACGTCCTCCTCGGTCTTCTCATCCTCAGTGTTGGCCTCGGGACTGCTGTCCAAAGCCCTCTTGAAGTCCGAGCTGGGAGCGTACTGAGACATGGGCGAGGCGGCCGGTGCAGGGAGGGCGGAGGACTGCACAGTCGGCGAGGTCTGGGACTCTGGCCTCAGGCTCCTGGCGAGTCTCTGAAAAGCCAGTGGCGCGGGACTCCAGGGAGACGTAACCTCACCCCTCCAGCGCCCTCCAGTTGCACCCGCTTGGGCTCAGGGACTTGGGCCAAAAGTCTCCGCACAAGAGAGAGGGAGGGAGCCAGGGAGTTGGGGAGGCAGCGGGGAGGAGAGAGGGAGCCAGCCAGCCTAAGAAACAGGGGAAAGGCACTCCTTGACGACACACCCAGAGACCATCAGGCAGACGCACAGACTCACACTGAAGAGCCCAGGATAAAAAGAGGCTTAGGGAAGGGAAATTGAAGGCCCTTTAAAGTTGCAAACTAGCCGATGACATACAAGCTGAAATGACCAGCTCATCCTTTTAAGCAGCTGAATTTGAATACATTCAGTGTTACTGAGGCGAACCAACTCCATCCAGTTGGCCACCCAACCCTACCTAGGTGGCAACAGTCTTACTACTTCCTCTTCATTCAACAATTTGCCTCCCCTGCCCCCATCCTTCTTCTAAGACTCTGAACACTGAACCTCAGTAATTTCTCTCCTCCAACAGGTGGGCAGGCAGCAAGGAGCTTAGCTTTGGCCAACCTTTCACACACTGCACAAGGGGCCTCTGGAGGCAGTCAGGACTGGCCCCGGTACCCTCCACTTTTTCCCAAACATGGAAATAAGAAATCCTTCTCCTCCACACTTTTCTACCTACAGGAGAGAAGCAGGTAGATCTAATTAGTGTAGACAACCCAGGTGGATAACTGGGATGGGGAGGAGAGAGAGAGATCCACTTTGGGAACTGGGATGAGGATAGCAACTACATCCGTATCTGAGCAATTCATGAAAGATGGCGTGGGCTGGGGCTCCAAACCCAGACAGAGCTGGGAAATTGCCACAACTGAGTTGAATGACCTCAGGAAATTCCCTTCACCCTTGCTGAGCTCCAATTTCTTCATCCACAAAAAAAGTGAAATTATAAGGGTGCCTGCCTCATAGGGATGCTGGGAAGACTGTGAGATTGCATGTTAAACCAGGTGATTCTAAGTGCTCAAAAAATGCTTGCTATTATTAGGACAATATTTTCCCCCCAAGGTAGTCATCATACAGTATCTCAGACCCAATATCCAGGGTTGCAAATATTTCACCCAAAATTCAGAGTCTGAGCTGGAGGGCCACAGAGAAATACAAATAATTTTAGTATGCAATTCTCCAAAACAATTGCTCACATGATCATGTGGAGAAATGAGATGAGATGAAGGATTAATCATCTGCTTGGCTTTCCCAGAACATGAATTGATTATCTGAGATGCTCTCACTCACCTCATGGGGCCATACTGACTTCGTAATCTACCTCCCTCATTGGGCAGCAAACTCCCTGAGAGAGGAAACCGTCCTGCTCACCTTTGTGTCAGCACTTGACAGAATACCTGGCATTGTGCTTGGCATAGCTTGCTGGGTGAACATGAAAAAATGAAATAGAGCCTTCTCCACCATGCCTTCTCCCTCATTCCTCAAGCGGGAATAAACCAAAGGATTAGATTCATCTCCTGAGTTCTCAACTAAGGCTTCGACTTGGCTGCTCCCTCAGACTGTCCCATGACTGCTCCTGATTTCTCAGCTGTCAACTGAAATGTCACCTCCTCAGAGAGAGGTTCTCTTTAGATTTCATTAGTGTAGGCCCCCATAATTATTATGTATTTGACCAGTTTTTGTGACACGTATCACTATTGTAATTTATTTGCTTGCTCTTTTGCCGTCTGTTCTTTCTTGAGACTCTAAGCTCTGTAACCTGTTCAGGGCTGTATCTCCAGGACTTGGAATCGTCCTGGCACAACTAGGAATGCCAGAAATAGTTCTTGAATGAATGGATCAGAATTTCACTTGCAAGTATTGAAAAATGATTCCCAGATCTTGACCAAGACTTACTTGAGTTAGCATTTCCCAGGAGGGAACTTCAGAAATCTGCATTTTTAATGCCTGAGAAATCTGTATTTTTAGAACACTCTCCAGTGATTTTGATGTAACCGAATGTTTTCTCAAATCCCACTACCATCTCTAATTCTCAGGATGTAGGTCTGGATCTTTCCTTTGGGAGTCCCCTCTGGTGCCTCAAACTCAGCATGTCAAAGGTGAACGTGTCCTCCCCCAGAACCTGTTTCTTGGCTCGGTCCTTGGCTGATGGGTCCTGCCACCTCGCTAACCTTCTCTCCAACCAGTCTTCTCTCTTCACTAAGTCCAGTGAAAAGCCTTTCCCCCCTTTTTTCCCAAGTAATATACCTAGGCTTTCCCTATCCCAAGGCCTTGTACCCGCTCTTCCTTCTTCCTGAAATGCTTCCCTTTCTCTCTTCACCTGTTGACTCCTCATCGTTGAGGACCCATCACCTCATGTATTATAACCTCCTGAGTCCTTCCCTGACCATCATATCCAAGGCAGGCTTCCATCCTCTTTTTCTCCATTTTATTATCCTGTTTATTTCCTTTGTCACAGTTATCACAAGCAGAAATTGTCTCATTTATTTGTTTACTATTTATTGTCTGTCCTCTCCCCAGGTAACTAGAAGGTAAACTCACAAGAGCACAGATACGTATTTTTGTTTAGTTCACTGTGGTGTCCCCTGGGCCCAGTTCCTGGTTCTTAGTAGGCACCCAATAGACTCAGTAAACTGTGCATTTAGTCATTCAAGTTAGGAACCTGAGGGCCTTATTTTCTCTGTCCTTGAGCCTCTACGTGGACAATTTATCAAACCCTACTGATTCCATCTTAAACATGACTCTCCATTCCACCCTCCTTTCCCCATCCCCACGGCCGGTGTCTGAGCTGCAGCTTTCATCAACAGCGAAAAGGCTCTGACGGGGGCTGTGTGAGCCATATTTGTGATCTCAGCCTGGTGAATTTAGTTGGTGTGACTAAGCCCAAGGACTGGGTACCGAATGCAATTTTGCTGTTTCAAGGTCATAAGCTGCACTATCCACTCCAATCCACTTGTGTCATCCACAGAAATACATACCAAAAACGGTGCTGTTGACTCAGCAGCAGAGCCCATCTCCTCTGCCAGGGAAACAACCGTTCAACCCTGGTCCAACACCGTGTAATCACCATTTACTGAGTACCTACTGTGTGCATTCAATGCATTCCCTAGGCGCGTCATCTCACTGAATTCCTACACCACCATTTGCAAGGTAGGTGGAGAGGTTTCCTTTTTACACCTGAGGAAACCTAGGATCAGATAGGTAAAGGGTCACGTGGAAGGCCTTGTAGCTGAGTGGAGGTGCCCGGATTTGAACTAGGTCTAAGATACTTATTCACCTAGCAGGTCCAGACAGGACATTCAGTTGGGCATCTCTAAAGTTTCCTGGAGTTATTATATTCTGCTCAGGGAAGATGGATTAATAGCTTGTTGACTGGTCTAAAATGTAGCAGTGAAATTGCAATCACTTGAAAGATTTACAATTATATTGAAAAGAAAGCACATATACCAGGAAGTGGAATGTATATGTGTTGATTCTTGAGCGATACATTAGACCACTCAGTAGGGGTTTCCAGCTCTGATTTCCTGAGCTTCACTAATTTTCTCTTAAGAGGTCAGTTTATTGCTCCTGAATGAACCCTACTGGCTGACTGCTTAATAAAGTGGCAATACCTTCCCATTTTAAAATGAAAGGAGAAAAGCGACTGCCTAATGGCCCGTCTAGGAGAGGGAAGAGACTCACTGCAGCTTTCCAAATTCTGATGAAGCAACTTACCTTTTCTGATCTTTGAAAAAAGTTTTATTTCCAAATGTAAAAGTAATACTTGCATAGAGAGAGAAAAGTTGGAAAATGAATAAAAGCATATAAATAATAAGAGGTATCACCTGTATCCTACCATCCAGTGGTAACCACCATAAAAATAAGGGAATTTTTCCTTCTAATCCTCTTTCTATATGTGTGTGTCATATCACTATTAACATTCTTTGCAGATATTTTCATAGTCTGCCTCATTTCCTACTAATTAGATGGACTGTTATTTATCAGATATTTAGGTTACTTTTAGTAGGTTTTCATTGTTAAAAAAAACATGAAAAATGCTGTGATGGACATCTTTTGTACCCAATCACCAGCATGTGTGATCATTTCTTTATGACTCCTGATCTTACAGGGTAGATGTCTGTCTTTAAAAGGCCAGAGAAAACTCAGATTTGCTGGTTGAGAAATCGTATTCTAAGATATGTACCAAAGGTAAAATTTAAATTTAGGCCAAGGAAACAATCAAAGATTCAGTGGACTATAGAAATGAGATGATTCAGATGAGATAGATTCAAAGAAGAACTTCTCAATGCCAAATGGATCCCCAGATCTACAGAATTCAGTGGGGTGATGTTGAATCTGTGCTTTTTGATCTTAGTTGTGTCTAGGATTCCATGATAGGAGGAAGGGGGGAGGCAGGGAGGGGAACAGAGAGAGAGAAGGGAGGAAGAGATACTGAGAATCTGCTGATCTGTGAAAAATGCAAGGGAAAGGTTCCAGATCTTTAGGAATGGGAAGAAGTCGAATGCGTTTGCTGCCAAATTTTGCATTAGTCTCAAGTACCAGGCTTCAGCAGTCATAAAGTAACTGCTGTCGTCTCAGGGGTTTGCTACAAAAGAACAGTATCTTTTTGGCTAATATTACTAGAAAACCATTTACCTTTCCAGTTTCCAACAACTTTGGTCCTCTTGCCAGGGAGAAAAAAAGAGCAAAACAGGGGAGAAGGGAGTATGGTCGGGGAAACAGATTCTGTACTGTTAATTTCTTAAACCACACCTTTTAATGAAATCACTTGAGGATGGAGAGGCGTAAAACACAAACTCTCAGACTTAAAATGCAATACTTTTCCCATTCATCCTCCACTGCACTAGAGAAGAACAGTATCCAATCCATCATTTTTCTTGATGATTAGATCTCACACACACATGTCTCTTGATATATCAATTGATAATATTTAATAATGATAATGCTGTGTTTTAGGCTATACTCTGCAACTTATGGATGAACCTGCTGTAAAAAATTTTATAAACAAACTTCAATTAAATAGAGTTGGGAGACCACAAGGGGGAGCTCTCATGCCCTGCAATGATAACAGAGCCTAGCCTGAAGAAGAAAGATTTCTCTCCTTTCCTGGCAAAGACTCAGACAATGAAAAGCCACGGACTCTGTTTACTAGAGCCCTCCCAACTTCCTTTTCCCCTCTATAAAAGCATTCTCTTTCCCTTGCGGTGCCGGGACCTGCATGTGGCTCACCATGGCGACAGACCCTGTACTGCAGTTCTCTGTGGATCCTGAACATACCCATCTTTGCTGGAGAAATACCTGGCAGTCTATTTGTTTCAGGTCAAGAAACCACTCATAATAATCAGCAAATATTATAATAGGGATCATAGAAATTAGAAATAATCTATACCTCAACCTACTAGTACATTTTCCACGCCTCCTTCTAATCCCTGAATATATTCAGGTATATTTCATACACTTGCAATGAAAGTGTATGCATCATTCTGAATCTTGAATTTTTTTTTAAACCTAATGCTCTTATTATACCCTTCCCAAGTGTGAAAGAGGGGTGCCAGCCACTCTTTTGCTCCTGGAGAACTGCACTGTGGTTCCCCACACCTCTGCAAAGAGTCCTTCCTCTAATGTTCTAATGTGAATGTGTCAACTGAGGTCTGTTGGGTCCAAGGCTGACTTAGAAGGTCTCCTTGGGGAGGTGACATCTGAGTGGAGAACTGATGGCTAAGAAGAGGCCAGACATTTGAAGAGCTGAGAGAAGAACATTCCAGGCAATGGGAATGGCATGTGCAAAGGCCCTATGGTGGGAAAGAACTCAGGATGCTGAAGAAACAGAAAGAAGGCCAGTGAGGGTAGGAGATGAGGTAGCAGAGGCCAGACCTTGTAGGACCTTTCCAGCACTGGTAAGGAGCATGGATTTTATTCTAAGAGCAACGGGAAACCTTTGAAGCATTTTAAACCAGATTATGATGTGAGCCAATGAACATTCTTCTGTGCTGATCAGCTGCACTAATGAGTTGCTAAATATAGTGATTAAAACTGACTTTGGGAAATTTATTTCCAGGCTGTCTATTTAATAAAATATTACATAAAAATTTTTAGGTAATAACATTTTTAATTTCTAAGAGCTTCTTATTTACTGATATCTTCAGTATTATTAGGGCCTATAATTATTATTCTTATTTAAAAATGAGTATCTTCTTGAATCTCTCTGAAACTACTAATTATAACTTTAAGGATGTTTTCTTTTATAGTTTCTCTCTTTTGATTGTAGGTCAGTTGTGCTATTTTCATCTTAGTTCTCTGAGGAGCTCTGGTTGTCCACTCATATCTATAATGAAATTGGTTAGCTCATACCAGCAGTATTGTGCATTTCCTCCACAATATTTCCAGCAGGACTTCTTCCTTGAATAGAAGACGATTATCTTATGTAACCCTCATCATGACTGTATTTGTTATCTGTTGCACATAACAAATGATATAAACATTCAGCAGCTTGAAACAAATATATATTATCTCATAAATATGTATTATGTCATGGCTTTCATGGGTTGAGAATTTTGGTGCAGCTTTTATCAATAATCTGTCAGGGCCTCCCTCAGGCTGGGGCTGCAGTCATCTCAAGGCTTGACCAGGGGGAATTCACTTTCAGGCTCACTCACGTGGCTGTTGGTTGGCCTTATGTCTCTGTTGACTGCTGATATGGCAGCTTGTTTCTCCAAAAGAAGCGGGTTGGGGTGGGAGAGGGGTAGGAGGAGAGAGAGAGAAAGAGAGAGACTCTTGCAACCTAGTCTCACCCCACCTTTCCTGCTACGCTACTGGTTACAGTGGTCACTCCATCCAGCGCACATTAAGGGGACAGGAGGTACGAGAACACAAATGGCTGAAGATGGAGATCCCTGGGGGCCACCTCGGAGGCTGCCTTCCATAACACCCTACGGTCTGCTTCTAACTCCCAGTGAGGAGCTGGGATTTGGCAAGGTGAAGTCACCTGCCCAATATCCTACAGTCAATGAATCAAGGTTAAGTCAGGGACCCAGGTGGACGTGCTTCCAAAGTCTGCCCTCTTAAGCGCTACGCCACTCTCTTCCAAAGTGTAGATGCATCACTGGGGTAAGTGTAAAGTCATTTAAGGTGATACAGAGGCTCTCAGGTTGGCGCTAACAAGCCTTTAACTCCTCTAACCCTCATTAACTTCCCATTTAACCAAGACAGGGCTGGCCGCAGGCTGCAAGTCTTGGCAAGGCAATGGTATCTAGCTAGACTTTAATACACTGTTTTCTATGAATGGTGTTTACTTCCAGTATGACAGGTAGGAGTGGCTATAAACTAATGATAGAATCATAACATTTCCTTTGAAAACATGTCTTAAAAATAGAAAATATGTTAATTAAAGTACAAATTTAAACAGCAAAAATGACGCTCAGAAACAGCAAACACAGGGAAGGGCATCTATGGATTAATAAAGCTGAGGAAATATTATTCTGAAAAGAAACTCAGGCATAATAATCCCTTTCTTCTGGTTCAATCTCTCCCCCCTTCATTTTATAACATGTGTAAAGTGAAACTAAATGATGTCCCTAAGGGTGCACAGTCCCCAGAATCACAGCCCAAGACCCTCTCGCTGATGTTTCCTTCTCTCTTTCACTTCTAGGGTTTATCGGCTTGAAACACTTTCTTTTTACTTTCTCCACTCCCACCCCACTATTTCCAATTCACTTTCCTTTAATCAGAATTTCTCAAGAGCAGCACTACTGACATTTTGGGTCAGATCATTCCTTGTTGCGGGGGCCATCCTGTGCCTTACAGGATGGTGAACAGCATCGCTGGCCTCCACCCACCAGATTCCAATAGCATCCGCACACCCAACTGTGACAACCAGAAATGTCTCCAGATATTGCCCTGCGCTTCCCCGGGGAGGGTGGGGCAAAAATCCCTTCAATCAGGCATCACTGCTCTAAAGCAGTGTTTTTTATTCCTACAAAACCTTAGGTCCTGCTGGTGCTGCTGGTCTGTGAAACACACTGAATAACACTGCTCCAAACTACACAGCCTAGTAAGGTAACCATTTTTTTCCTTCCATTTTTGGAGACTTGTGTATATTACAGTTGCAAATGCAAAATAACACTCCATTTAGTACCAACATTTGCTGTTAATTAAATTAGGTCTCCTATGTGGAAGATGAAGATTCCAGCATTAACATTTCAGGAACAAATTTTTCCTGAGGGGTAGAGACCACACACAACATAATTTTATTTCCTACATGGGGCAAATTAGAAATCAACAGGATAAATGAAGAGGAAATGCTTATTGAAAACAATCTTTGCATCGTGTTATTCTGAAGGAAAAAAAAAAGTAACGAGCCTCACCTACGTGGTTAGCAAGCACAGTCTGAGGAAAGTTTGTAGAATGAATACAAGTGACGTGAACAGCTACTTAATGCGCTGCTGCAGTCCACACAGAGGCTGGGATGAGCTCAGACTCTTCCCAGACAGCAGAATAACCATTTTTTAATTGCTTCAGAGAGCTTCCTGGGAAAGCTGCACATTAGCAAGGGTTTGGAGGCTGCGGAGAAGCAGGAAGGGTTGTAATGCTGCCCTAAATGTCTTCAATTATACATGACGGGGTGGGCTTTTCCACCACGATCCAACAAAAAAGCAGCTCTTCTGGGCCTCTTAGGGAATTTTTGTGCATTAAGGATGAAAACTTTCCTGGATCTTCTGGGCCAATGAGGGCTCTATGTTTCTTCTGAGTAAGAGTGAAAATGGGTTTTTAAAATTCAGAACCACGGTAGAGCGCGCGTTTGACCTGCTCTTTCTCCCTTCTCTTTCTGTCCCTATCAACTGCCTCCTCCCCCACTGCTCTTTCCACCTCTCTCCCTTCTTTCTGTACTTTTGACCTTTCCTGCAAACTGGATATAATGAGGCACACAATGCTTTTCTTTTGTCTTATGATTTGCATTCTGAGAAGCTCTGACTGTTGCTTTTTTTTTTCCTTTCAAAAACCAAAACAAAGCAGCACATTTCCAGGAAATAGGATGTGATATTGCTGAACAGCTATGAGAGTTTTCAACCATATGGTATTGCTTGACACCGGATGACTCATTTTTTCAGGTGACCAAAGTTTGGGAAGAGTAGAGTTCAGGCAAACAAGAAAGAAGGTTCCAAATATCAGGACAAATCAAACTGGTATGTAATGGACTCTCCACTTCTGAAAGTTTCCCAGCACAGGCTGCTCATGTCAGGAAGGCCAGGCTGCATAAACCTGACCTCTTCCTGGCTACTCACCAGAATCACCTGGGGAACTTTCCAAAAGAGGCAGATAAATTTGTAACCTTGGGTTCAAATCCTAGCATCTCTATTTAAAAAAAAAAATCTTCCCCTGAGACCCAGATGAAGTCATGTGGCTCTGGTCCCAAATGGCATTTGGAACCAGTAAGATGGCAGAACTGAAAGGTCCCTTAGAAGAGCTGGAGGACTCCCTGAGATTCTCCATGACTTTAGGAACTGACTTAGGTCAAGGGTCATGTACATCACACACAGAATAATAGCAGCCAATATAGTACAGCCCAAAGTGGCACGTACACGCCTGGATGAGTCGAATCCCTGTTCTTCCACTTCTTTCTGGGGTGACTTTGGACAAGTCATCCGGTCTCTGAGCCTCAGTTTTCTTGCCTATAAAATGGTACGGTCACTAACGAGGTTGGGGAGTTAATGCATGTGAAGTGCTATGCATGGTACCTGACACGTGACAAGTGCTCAGTAAGTGCTAAGTAATGGGAGTTCAAAAAAGACAAAGTCACTTTTATCAAGGGGACTTGAGGAGGCATGAGATGAGCTAAAACCATTTGGATGCTTCAAGTTAGAGGACAGACGCCTAAGAGCCACGATCCAAACTGAAACCCATGAAAAGGATAATGGAGAAGTCATTTGTTTACAAGAGTAAATGTCCTTTCCTAATCCCCAAATACTTGGGAGATTTCAGCTTAAACCAAATGACAGAACATTTCATTACTGAACTTTTGATACTTGGAGCCACACTGGACCTTTTTTCTGTTCCTCTAAAAACTCTTATTGTTGCCTCAGGGCTTTTGTATAATCCCTCCAGCTGAACGACGATACCTGTGATCTTCACGTGGTTTTCAATTATATTTTTCAATTATTTGTATTCCCATTATTTACTTAGCATCTATCTTGCCCACTAATATATAAGTTTTATGGTAGCAAAAACCTTCTTTCACTGTTGTGTATCTGATCTTAGAACCGAGCTTAGCACAGAGTACACAGTCAGTAAATATTGATCAGATGAAAGAATATTGAATGAATATTGATCAGAAGAATGAATGAATAAATATGAAGTGGTATATGGTTATCAGAGCCATAATTATTTTTAAATAAACCAGGTATCTAGAGATAAGCAAATCTCAGACTCGAAGGGACCATTGAGATGATTAACTTTAAAGCATTCATATTTATTGACCGATGAGATCTTTAGAGAGGAGGGACATGTTTAGCATTCTGGTACCCAAACCTTTTATCATCATTTCCTCAGCTACCAAAACTTGGGCATGTGTTCCACTGATCACAAGGATACATGTGAAGACAACGGAACTGCATCTTTGAAATTAGGACTCTGGCCATAATGGCTGTATTGACCTGGAAAATGAGAAAATAAATGGCTTGCAGGTCTTGGAGCAGCGAGTTCATCCTCCTACCTCATATCCTGACTATGAAAGTCTTTCTTAGGGTGATAGTTGTGTGTGCCAAAATGTTTTCTTCAGGACTGGGGGACTAGTAAGTGTTAATTTCAAAAGGTGACTGAAGGTGACTCCTGGAGCCTCTTTGGCACTTGGAGATCTGGTCTCAATGTTTAGTGCTGGAAAACTGAAGATACCAAGGCAGTAGCCATTAACAAGTAGATTGTATGAGCACTTAGCTTGGCTGCCTGGTGTCCCCCTGGGGATGGCTGCACTCTACACTGTGTTCACTGGCTGAAGGGGAGGGGTCCAGGACCATCATAAATGCCCACATATTCTCAGCTCAGGGAGCTGGGACTGAGATCTTCTTTCACGGAAGAGATGTTGTATTGGAGGCTTCTATCATTCGCTCATTCATTCATTTATTTACTTAGCATAGATTATCAAATGGCTACTCTTATGGGCTGAGTTGTGTCACCCCCACTCCCATATATTGAGGTCCCAACTATACCCCCACCAGGACCTCAAAACACAACAGTATTTGGAGAGAGTCTTCAAAGAGGTGATTAAGTTAAAAAGAGGTCATTAGTGTGGGCTCTAATCCAATATGACTGGTGTCCTAATAAAAAGAGGAAATTTGGACACAGACACAGAGAGAAGACCGTGAAGAGACACATGTAAAGACACGGTTTTCTATACGTCAAGGAGAGAGGCCTCGGAAGAAACCAACCATGCTGACAGAGTTCCAGCCTCCGGAACCACGAGGAAATAAATTTCTGTGTTTGAGCCAGTCAGTCTACAGTACCTTGTTATGACAGCCCGAGAAAACGAATACCCTTACCTGTGCCAGGCATTGAGGACACAGAGGTAGGTAAGACCTGATTCAGACCAATGGGGAGCTGACAGGTTTGTGTTCCTGTGGGCTCAGCTGGAGACACTAACAGTAACAGCCAAGTGGCCTTTGCTTCCACCTGCTCACCCAGAACTTCCAGATTACGGCAGGGGATCCTCCGCTCCCGTGTGGGAGACCCTGGCGGAGTGTCACATATGCTCACAGACAAGTCTGCCAGCTGCAGTCACGATGCGTCTCCTAGGTTTGTACGCATTAGCTCTGGGACTCTGCTGTGGAGCCATTTGGGGACAACTCATGGCTGATGATCCCCACTCTGAAAACCTAATTTCCACGCCAAAGGTGCAATTTCTTATTTATTTTTTTAAAATGGAGGTACTGGCAATTGAACCAAGTACTTCATGCATGCTTAGCATGAGCTCTACCAACTGAGCTGTACCCCAACCCCCGCAAAGGTGCAATTTCTTAATCCTGTCAACAGCTGAAGTGCTGGTTGTGAATCCAAGCCTCCTGGTTGTGAATCCAAGTCTCAGCTTCCTTTGTGAAAACAGGACATTTAGTGAGTGGGATGAGACAGAGGTCGACATTCCTTTTCCATGTGGGTATCTAACTACTAGAGCACAGTTAGTAATTTGTCACCAATCAAATGTCTAAATACGTGTGGGTCTGCTCCAGTGGTTGGCCTGTTTGTCTCACCTTGCAGAATTTCCTCACTGTCAATCTCTGTAACCACAGAACAGTCTTCTACCTGAAGAATCTACTTTGTGGATGGATTCCCTCAGGTTTGCTGAACTGGAGGACAATTTCAAATACTGAAAGCATATTTCCTCTTTTTTGTTATTTGTAATGTGATGACTTCTTTTAAGTTTAATTTGTATTATTGATATTTTTCCAGATTTATTGATATATTGTTGACATGTAATGCTGTGTCAGTTTGAGGTGTACAATATTATAATTCGATATACTTATATATTGAGAAGTGATTACCACAATTAGGTTGTTAACACATCCTTCCCCTCCTAGAATTATCATTTGTTGTTGCTGTGATGAGAACATTTAAGATCTACTCTCTTAGTAACTTTCAACTATACAACACAGTGTTGTTAACAGTTGTCACCATGCTGTACATCAGATCCCCAGAACTTATTCCTCTTATAACTAGAAGTTTGCATTCTTTGACCAATATCTCCTCATTTCTCCCACCCCCTAGCTCCTGGCAATTATCAACGAACTCTCTATTCCTGTGAGTTTGGCTTTTTGAGATTCCACATATAAGTGAGATCATAGAGTATTTGTCTTTTCTTTGTCTGGCTTATTTCATTTAGCATAATGCCCTCAAGCTTCATTCATGTTGTCCAAAAATCTAAATGGCAGGATTGCCTTCTTTTTATGGCTGAATATTTTCATATACACACACATATGTATGTATGTATGTATGTACATACAGTTGACCCTTGAAGAACACGTGGGTTGGGGGCAGTCAAAAATCCCCAAATAACTTTAGAATGACCCTACATATCGGCAGTTCTGCATCTGCGGAGGCAACCAAGAGCAGATTGTGTAGTAGTGTAGTATGTATTTATTGAAAAAAAAAATCTGTCTGTAAGTGGAACCACACAGTTCAAATCCATGTTGTTTAAGGGTCAAATGTGTATATATACACACACAAATATATATTCATTTGTAAAGCATTGGGGAGTGCTCACATTCCCATGACAATATTGTCAGCCTATTTTTATATCCCACAAAGTATTACTGCTATGTTTATTTTTATAGATATTTATATTTTCCTATTTACCAATGCTGTTGGTATTGTTCCTTCTTATATTTCAGATTTTCTCTATGAAATTCTTTTTAAAATGTATCTTTTAGAAATTATATTAATGGGATCTGTTGGTAATAAATCCTTCTGGACTTTGATTTTTGGAAATGTCTCTATGTAGTCCACATTCTTGAAAGATGTTTTTTCTGAGTACACAATAATAGTCTGACAGTTACTTTTGCTTTGTATTTTAAAGCTGTTATTCCAGTCTCAGCTGCCTTTCAGTGTTACTGCTGAGATGTGTCTGTCTACTTGTCTTTCCTTCACAAATGACCTTCCTTTTCTTTCGGCCGCTTTTAAGATCTTTGTTTTGCTATTTGTAATTTTACGACGACACATATAGTAAGACCTTTATCTATTCTGGTTGGGATTTGCTGGACTTCCTAACCGCCAGATTCACATCATTGTAATAAAACGCTGGAAAACGGTGACCATCATATCTCCAAATATTATCTGTTTTCCATTCTCTCCATTCTTCACACATACTCTGATTAGATATGTTAGGCCCTCCCTAACTATCTTCTATGTCACTTAATATTTATTTCATATATCTTAGCTCCATGTCTCCATGTGGCTTTTTGGGTAATTTCTTTAGGATTTCTCAGTTTATCAATTTTCTATTTAGCTAGGTTGAAACCGCCTTTAGCCCATCCTCTGGGCTTTACATCACCAGATTAAGATAAAAAATTTCTAGTAGTACCACTTCCTCACTTTTCAAAATTTCCTGATTATTTAAGCAGGCTATTATTTCTTGTCCATTTCTTTTCCCCCCCTTACATTGTGTTGATCTAAGTTCTTTTTTAAATTAATGCCCAGAAAAACTGGCTTTGAGGACTGTTCAGTTCTAGGAACTGTACCACATGTATGGATCCGTGTGATCACCACCACCATGAGTCTCATCACTCTTGAAAAAATCCCTTCGTGCTGTCCATCTTCAGTCACACTCTTCCCTTCCTCTTCCCGCCCACTGGTATTTTCTCCATCTCACAGTGAGCATTCTTTGCTTGCAAACTGGGCAGGCTGAAAGTACTGGGGTGTTAATACCCCTGGGAGCAGCCCTCAACCAATGCTTACCAGGAGATGTGGATAAATGCCCTGGTTCCTTTTCCATTTGATGGAAAGGATGATGTATGCAAAATCCTGACCAGACATTAGAAGAACTCAAACGCAGACCCCAGAACATCAGGGAAGTCCATGGGAAGGAAATAAGAAGAGTGCACTGCAGCTGAGGTGAGACCCTGTCCAGCTGCCACTGTCATTGGTCAGAACCTTCTGTGGAAATGGCTACAACTGCAGTGGCTGGAGTGTGAGGTGAGCCTGAGAAGACTTTAAAGTAGTCTCCAAGAGGGTGTGGAGAAAAGGGAACCCTCCTACACTGATGTTGGGAATGTACCACTATGGAAGACAGTATAGTGGTTCCTTGAAAAACTAATAATGGAGTTACCATATGACCCAGCAATCCCACTCCTGGGCATATATCCAGAGAGAACTCTAATTTGAAAAGATACATGCACCTTAGTGTTCATAGCAGCACTGTTCACAATAGCCAAGATGTGGAACCTAAATGTCCACCAACAGATGAATGAATAAAGAAGTTACAGTATATTTACATGGTAGAATACAACTCAGCCCTAAAAAAGAATGAAATAATGCTATTTGCAGCAACATGGATGGACCTAGAGATTATCACACTAAGTAAGGAGTGAGAAAGAGAAAGCCAAATACAATATGATATCACTTACATGTGGAGTCTGAAATATAATACAAATGAACTTATTTACAAAACAGAAACAGACTCACAGACATAGAAAATAAACTTATGGTTACCAAAGGGGAAAGGAGGTGGGGAAGAGATAAATTAGAAAATTAGGATTAGCAGATAGAAACTACGATATATAAAATAGATAAACAACAAAGTCCTACTGTATAGCACATGGAACTATATTCAACACCCTGCAATAAACCATCAAGGAAAAGAATATGAAAAAGAATATATACACATATATATTTATATATGTGTGTATACAGGTATCTGAATCACTTTGCTATACACCAGAGACAAACACACTGTTGTAAATCAACTATACTTCAATTTTTTTAAATGGAAGAAAAATAGTCTCCACTTGATGTCCAATTCAGAGAGAAACATCTATTAATGAAGAGCAAATTCATCTTCCACAACTTTGTGTGCCCAGCTTCCCCACAGTGTAGGGAAAGCAGGGCTGAGATGGGGACAGATACCTGATAGTATCACTTGAACACCTGGATCCTGTTATACCTGAAGCATCTTCCTTGGGATTTTTTTGGTCACTTGAGACAATAAAATTTCCTTTTGGTTTAAGTAGGCTTGCATTGGATTTTGTTCCACATAGCTGACAGTCTCCCCAGCAGTGATCTTCATTTATTCAAGAAGTTTTTTTTTTAATTCACTTTTAAAAATTGTGGTAAAATAACACAGAAACTTTACCATCTTAACCATTTTTAAAATGTACAGTTCAGTAATGTTAAGGATTTTACATTGTTGTGGAACTGATCTCCAGAACTTCTTCATCTTGCAAAACTGAAGCTCTAAACCCATCAAACAACTCTCATTCCCCTTCTTCCTAGCCCTGGCAACATCCATTCTACTTTCTGTTTGTACAAACTATGACTACTTTAGCTACTTTATATAAGTGAAATCATACAATATTTATCTTTTCGTGACTGGCTTATTTCACTTAAACATAATGTCTCTAAAAGTTCACCCATGTTGTAGCACGTGTCGGAATTTCCTTCCTTTTGAAGGGTGAATTATATTCATTTCATGTATGTACCACATCTTGTTTATCTACTCACCCGCTGATAGATGCTTGGGTTACTTCCACACTTGGCTGTTGTGACTAATGCTGCTATGAACACGGGTGTACAACCATCTCTTTGAGACCCTGCTTTCAGTTCTTTTGGATACATACCTGCAGTGGAATTGCCAGGTCAAATGGTAGTTCTATTTCTAATTTTTTGAGAAACTGCCACACTGCTTTCCATAGCGGCTGCACCATTCACCACTGACCATGAACAAAGGTTCCAATTTCTTACATCCTCACCAGTACTCGCTATTTTCTGTTTCTTTCGATAGGAGCCATCCTAATGGGTGTGACGTGGTATTTCATTGTGGTCGGTAAGTTTTTACCATGTGCTTGGCACTGGGCTAGCACAGCACAGCAAACAGGCTTGGGCTTGTGGGTATAAAATACATACAAATGACTAATGAAAGTTGTGCAAAATGCTCCAAAGAAGAAGTTGCAGGGCCAGGTTGGAGTGCTTGACTAATTCCTGGAGGAGGGGCATCTCTTAAAGACATAAGTCACTCCCACGTATCCTCCTTGGATGGGGAACTTTTCATGCTGCTCCCTTAATAGGCTTCTGGGGAGGTAACCTTTTGGCTGCTCAGTTTTCAGAGGCCTGCAGGATTTTTTTCTCAGCTTTTGGGACTGGGCCTTGCCAAACATCTTCAAAGGTCCCCAAAGAGCTCTTAATCTGGCAAATAGTTTTCCATCAATAAACAGGGCAGTGTTCCCTGCCCAGATGCCTATTAAATTTGTCTCTCCCCCAGAGAGAGTCACTGTTAGTCACATGTTCCCTTGTTGGGCAGGATGCTCTGTTGACCCAGGGCCACTTGGTTTTCTGTGATCCCACTTGCCAATTTGTGACCAGAAGCTGAATGGTCACTGAGGATGGGTGAAGGCAGTGGTGACTGGGGTCAGGAGAGGTGGCAGGATGGCTGCTGTGTTTGGGTACCTGTAAGACTCAGACGCTTTTTAATAAAGTGGCAGGACTGGACTTGATGACTTCTTGCTTGGCATTTGGTGAGTCTGACAGGTGGCCAACTGTTTCAAGATTTTCTTAAAAAGAGACAAAGAATGGGTGATGTCCATAGGGTGGCACCACCCATAGCTACGCTCAAGTCTTGGAAAAGTAGCTGCAATGCCACTCTCTCCTTCCCCACTCAAGAAAGTCCGCTGGAAAGCCGTGTTATACACGTAATGTTGTTACAGTGAAGCACACTTAACATAGCACCTGACACTTAGCAAATTCTCAAGCCATGTACCATTGTTAAACTATTACTATTGACATTTAAGGTTAACCAATGACCTGGAGTAGACAAACTACGCCTCATGAGCCAAATGCAGCCTGCCACCCAATTCTCCTGCTCCTGAGCCAAATTTGGTCTCAATCTATTGGCTCAAACAAAATCAGGTCCTCGTTGGGGCCCAATTCGAAAGGATCAGTAACAGATTTTCGTGACCAAGCTGGTCAGGGCTAACGGGGCTGAGCTGCTCTGGCGCGAGGGCAGTCCCAGTTGGAATAAGATAAAGGAAATCAATCAGGAGTCAAGGGAAAATCCTTCAGTGAACCCTAG